ACTGGGTGCTTGCCTTATGCAAGACAAGTGCCCTGCTGGAACAGATGCATGAGAAGATGGACTTGATGAATGAGAAAATGGATTTGACTGTTGCAGTTAATAACTGTGGGCAAACAGGGAATATTGATACAGAAATTATCCAGGGACCAACTCATGAATCTGTACTGACTGGGCAAATGCAGAAGATAATGGAGGAGGATGCGGTGGCACCCCAAATAATACAAATGGAGAGTCCCGAGGCCCTACAGGAGTATGAGCCGCTGTCATTGAAGATTGAAGTTGGAGTGGGCCAGGGGGAGTCTGGAGTTGAGGAGGTTCCCAACGTTGGAGAGATCTTGGAATATGCTTTTAAATACTTTTTGGACTATATTGAGGATTGTGGGGAGTGGGACTGTGGGGAATGGGCGGGTTTGATGAAGGGAGATGGAGACAGTTTTGGCTTGGAACCCCCCAGAGGCCTACCCCTCAATGAGAAAGGAAATAAACTAAGAAAGAGACCAACAAAAGACAAGGAAAAGGGCAAGTATAAACAAGAAGAAGAAGAATTGCAGAAGGGACATGGAAGAGACTTAAGGGCCTCGGACATAAGGCATCCAGGTTGATGGGCTAGATGGAATGGACAGTAAGGACTGACACGATCCGAGACCAGGAAGAAGGGACGTTGGATGAAGATTGGAAGAAAATTTATAAAGAAAATTTTATATTTGGGGAATTGGCTAAAAATTAATGAATATTAGGGAAAATGTTGGAATGAAACTATATGACTTTAGCAGAAATGATATCAGGAGTAATGTATATTTGATAACTAAGATTCAAGCTTTAAGGTGTTTTAGGGTAAGATAAGGTTAAATTAATTAAGGTAATGTGAATAATAGAAATATGGGGAAAGATGGAAAGGATTTGTTGAGTTAATTATTAGATTAAATTAGGTTAGGATGAATTTCTTAACAAAAATTGAGAAAGATGGAAAGAATTTGCTGAAATAACTAATTAAACTAGAATACAAAAAGGGAGGTGTGAGGAAGTCAATGAAACAAGCAAATGAAAGTTTTAGATATGTAATTTGGGATTTGTGTTGTTTTCTTTTTTCTTTTTATCTTTTTGTTGTATTGTTGTATTGGTTTTTGTGTTTTTTCCTTTCTTTTTGTCTATTATAGTATTGTTTTTTAATGTGTTTTTTTCTTCTTATAATTCTGAAAACTACTAATAAATATTATTATTTTTTAAAAAGATAATGGAGAAAGCTCATAAATTGTATCCCTTCTGGCATTCTGCCCAACTCTATTATGCTGGTGTAAACCCTGGTGCACCAGAAGCCCAGAATAGCAGCAAATAAAATCCGCTCATACGGCAGCAACTGATAAGACTTGTCAACCAGTTCTTCCAGAGTTTTCCTAAATTATAAAGCTCCAAAATACGAGCCAAAAGAGAGCAGGTCTGGAAAGAGCGAGGCATACAATGGGCACCACCAGTGAAAAGGCCCTGTTCCGTGTAGCTCCTGCCCTGTCATTTGATAGGGTACCCACTTGTCCTCCTTCTTGACATGGAATGCTCTCTTTTAGAGTCTCCAGGTCCAGTACAAAGACCGTAAGAAGGGAGAGCAGGGACCTTGAAGTTCCCAACAGCTGTTAATCGAGCAAGCAAGCACACAGGTCACATTTGTATTATTTGTATTATTATTATTATTATTATTATTATTATTATTATTATTTGTATATTATCAACATATACAAGCAGAAAAGTTGTTTTCCTTCATTTGCAAGGAATCGTACAAAAGAAAGTGGCACTAATAAAGAAAAGTTCTAGAGTGGCAACAGAAAGCAAACTAAAAATGCTTTTGCAGTTCATCAAAACTATCTAGGAATATCAAGTTATAGGGAAACTGGTGCTATTAACAGTAACCCTTCTAGTTGGTTAATTGGTTCAGCAACTTCCATGCATATGACATGTGATGCTAATTATTTCCCCCAAGAATTAAATGATAACTAATCAGAGGCAGCTCAGGAGAGCTATGAGATTCAGGTAAGGGTCAGATGCCTTGTCAATCCCTGCCCTTCTCATAAAGAGGAGAAGCCTAACAAGGAAGACTTGTGTATAGTACGCAGATCTGAAAGGGCCACAAAGAGTAAACCACCCAAAAGGTATGCTGAAGAGTTTGCTAAAGCAGTCATAGCAGATACAGCTGTTGTTAGTAGCTCAGAGAAGGTTTGGGAACCTTCAAGCTTCCAAGAGGTCGCAAGCTGAACCTCAGAGGATGCTGAGCCATTGTTAAATGCCATGAAGGCTGAACTTGATTCCTTAGAGAGGAACAAGACATGGGAACTAGTTCCAGGCCTGCCCAGAGCACAAAAGGTTTACCAAGTTCAGTTATTGCAAAAGTTTTTCAGTGTTAATTTTATGCATTTTAAAAAATCACCATGGTATTTAACAATAATATCTTATGTCCTTTTGAGGAGAAATTGTGAATTGCAGAATTTTAAATACCCGCCATCATCCTTGGCTTCACTCAATTTTGTTCATAACACTCTTCCATTTTCTCTAGTTGTGAGGGTGGGGGATGGGGAGAGGCCTCACAGGTGAAGTAGCCTAGGGCCTCTCTTCCTCTAAATCTGGCCCTGTTCACTCCTCATTTTGGAACCCTCCAAAGACCTAGAGATAATCATCTTCCATCATAGAAACACAGCTATAGCATCCCAACAACCCTGCTCTGCTCCATTCATGCAATCTTTCCTTGATCACTTACTTTGATTTCCCCCCCTTCCCTATTCCCTTCCTTGGAGTGAGAGAAAATATTTCCTCCCACTGTTCTTCTCCTGAGGTTCTTGATGCCTTCTTAGGGGCCAAGAGCATGCCATAAATATTCCGGGAGCTTTGCAGAGAGGGATGAACGACTGACTGTCATCTGCTCATTAATTTCCTGGGGGCAACATTTAATGCCAACTGGCAGCTTTGCATTGTTCTCCCTCCGCTTTTGATTAATGTGCACTGCTGTTGCTCCTGGCCTAACAGCCCTCACCAGGCCGGTGATCATATTGCGCATAATGGTATCTCTGCTTGGGGAGAGACTAGGGGTGGGGTTCCCCTTCCAGAGACACACAGGAACCAGCAGGGAGCCTGCATTTCCAGTTGCTAGTTGCCCCGTTGGAAGTCTTTCCTGCAGCTTGGCATTGAGATAACAGCCACTCTGCTTGGGAAAGTTCATTATCAACGAGGAAATCTGCACAAGTGCCGTGGCAAGCCCTCCGCCACCTTCTCTCGTCATAATGTGCAGCACCTCCCACGGTGCCATCTGGGTCCCAAAGGCCCAAGGTTCTGAGTGCATGTGAAATACCCTGGGAATGCAGCATCGAAGGGGAGCGCACTCTAGCCTCTGACACCCAAAAGGGGACGAAAAACCATGGTGAGGTTACTGGGGAACATTGCAGAAAGCAGGGGGACCAAACTGCACACATCCACAGAGGAAAATCTGCAGAGAGTTTGCTTCCATGCCCCCTGCTAGAAAGACCACTTAAAACAACACCGTAGCTAAGAACCAGTGCTGAAAGTGAGAGCCAGTGTGGTGTAGTGGTTAAGAGCAGTAGATCCGTAATCTGGGGAACCGGGTTCGCGTCTCCGCTCCTCCACATGCAGCTGCTGGGTGACCTTGGGCTAGTCACACTTCTCTGAAGTCTCTCAGCCCCACTCACCTCACAGAGTGTTTGTTGTGGGGGAGGAAGGGAAAGGAGAATGTTAGCCGCTTTGAGACTCCTTAGGGTAGTGATAAAGCGGGATATCAAATCCAAACTCTTCTTCTTCTTCTTTTCTCCTCCTCCCTCCTGATCCCTTTTCCCTTTGATGCTGCGTCTTCTATTATGCCTTTTATACTGCAAACCTGAAGGGAAGGAATTATGTTATTACTGATCACTGGAAGCCACTCTGGGAGTCCTTTTCGGCCAAAGAATGGGATTATAGATGTAGATCTGCAAATAAATAAATCAGACAAATAACTGCAAGACCTCAAAACGCCTTCTCTAAACCCAAATTTTCTACTGAAGCCTTCAAGCACAACTGCAAAGCTCCAGTATCCATCTGTAAGTAAGCCTGACTGAAGCTGGCATATATAAAATGGCACAGAAACACAAAAACACATCCAAACAGAGGGAAGCAAGTCAAAGACCACTAAAAATCTGCAAATTGCTGGTGTGGGAAAATGGTGAATACTCCATAAACATAGTAATGACCATTCAGTTGGGTTTCCTCCCATTAGCTCTCTTCTGATTTGGTGATCTCAAGCTAAAGTACTGTAGGCAAACCCACATTATAAATTCAAATCAGATTTGATGCATATTTATAGCATATTACTTCCCTCAAAGAATCATGGGGCCGGTAGCTTCACCCTCACACACCTACAATTACCTAGCACCCTTAACGAAGTACAGTTCCCAGGATTCTTTAGGGAAAAGACATGTGTAAATGTTAGTGACATAAACGGTGTGGATCTGGCATGGAAATGATTTGCGCAACATGGATTCAAGCCTGAGAATTATTAGTCTGGATGTTCAAGATGGCTAGTACAGTGGTAAAGGGGTAAAGCATGTTGTGCCTTCCAGATGTTTTGGACTACAACTTCCCCCAGTCCCAGGCAGCACGGCCAGCAGTTGGGGACGGTGGGATCTGTAGATCATCAAGCCACACTGCCTACCCCTGAGTTAAGCAAATAAGCTATGAGCTATGAGTTAGAAAATCCCACTTTACATTGGACATCCTTTGAAGCTGAATGTTGGAAGATTCAGGGCGGATAAAAGAAAGGACTTCTTCCTCCAGCACATAATTAAACTATGGCACTTGCTCCCCCAGGAGGCAGTGATAGCCACCAACCAGGATGGTTTTAAAAGAGGATTGAACAAATTCGTGGAGGAGAGGGCTCGTGATGGCTACTAGCTATGGTGGCTATAAAATTGTAGAATTGGAAGGGACCACTAGGATCATCTAGTCCAACCCTCTGCTATGCAGGAATCTTTTGCCCAACGTGGGGCTTGAACCCATGACTCTGAGATTAAGAGCCTTATGTTCTACCAACTTGAGCTATTCCAGGACTATGGGCATGTGGGTGGCCACTGTGAGAACAGGATGCTGGACTAGATGGGCCATTGGCCTGATCCAGCAGGCTCTGCTTATGTTCTTAGCCACTGTCCCTTAAATCCATCTCCTCCAATGGGATGATGATGATGATGATGATGATGACAGTGATGATGACCGACTTTACCCGCCTTTCATACAGATGGATTGGTGAGGCATTGTATGCAAGCAGCTGATGTACTCCTTGGACTTGCAAAGAGATCAAAAGGCTGAGGTTAGTTCCATCTCCGGGTGCTTCCAGACTATTGCTATTTTCAGGTGGGATTTAGTCCCATACCAGCAAATTCAGATTGCACAATTAAAATCAGTTGGGAGGCCTTGCGCAACAAACCTGTTTCTTCAGAAGATTGGACTTTTTTGCAATAAGGAAAGCAATGGGAAACTGCACTGGAAAGTGTACGTTAACGTTTGCTTTGATGCAACGCAATCTAACCTCCCCGCAAGCAAATCAGAACAAATGCTCAGTAAATAAGCCAACATCATCTAACCTCCATACAAACTCTGTGCAAACAAATCAATGTTGTATAAAGAGACCATCTGGAAGTACCCCTTGAAAGCTCTATGCCTGTCCGAGAAAGTTTACAGCCACAGGTTTTTGCCTTGTATTTGGAGGTCATTCAAAGGTCACCTTGTCTCTCCAGGGAATTCTGTGCTCATCCCTGCCATTGATCATTTGTCCCTAGATGTAAGACCTCAATAGGAAACCACTTGACTTTATCCTGTGGCTCATAAGGCACAAAAGTGGTACTGCTGACCGCCAGATCATGTCCTGGTTTCCCCTGTGCTGGGAGCCCAACCCCCTTGTAATAAATTTGTCCTTTTATCACCTGCGGCAAGTCCAGGTAATCCCTCCCCTCTCTCTCCTCCTGCCGGATGTTTCAGCTCCTGTGGCGCCGGAGCCCTTTGAAGGCTTCAGGAAAGGCAGCTACCCCACACCAAAGTGGAGGTGGAAGGAGATGACTCAGGGGATATAATAATGAGACAGATCAGAGGAGGCGAGGAAGGAGAAGAGGCTGGAGAGAGAGAGAGAGAGCGCGCAAGGGGAGGGAGGGAAAAGCGCGCTTGTCCTTCAGGCCTACACACACACACACACACACACACACACACACACACACACACACACACACACACACACACACACACACACACACACACCCCTTCCTGGATCCCCATTAGTCACAGCACAGCAGCTGCGGGGTTGGTGAGCGTGCACCCCCCTCCTCTCCCCAAAAATGTGACTCATCAAAAAAGAGGGGGAAAGAAGTTCTAAAGGAGACCTCTGCTGCTGCAGATGGGATATTTTTATCCTTTTGCTTTAGATTGGGCTGTATACACAGGGAACTTTTCATCTGAGAGAAAAAGAAACCCAGCAAGCAATTCAGCAGGGATTGGGGGGAGGGGAGAGAAGTGGGGGGGAACCAGGGCAGGTTCATTGTCTGGGGCTGTAATTGGAAAAGCAACTTGGCTTTCTTTTCTGCACACACACACACACGAGCAACAACACGCCTGCCTGCTTTCATGCCAGGGCTGTGGTTTGGCTGGCTATTCTGTCTCGGAGAGCTGACCATACATCTATTTCAGCTCATGCATCCATCTCCCCCACCTCCATTGCTCCTTCTTCCCCGCCCCGATTGTCCCTCTTCCATGCCTGTCATTCTCTGCATTCAGAGCCATTTGAAATTCCTGCTTTGTAGCCATCGCTGGTGTGTGTGTGTGTGTTTTAATGCAGTACAAATTCTCCTCTTTCTTCAGCACAGAACTCCAGAATCCAGAGAGTATTGTCACCACACACACACATACATACATATATATATATATATGCATGAATGCCTATACAACACACACTTGCAAAAGGAAGCTTCTGCTGATTCCCCCTGGAAGAAGAGGCGAAGTGCCTCCCCTCCGAAAAGTCTCTCAAGGGGTCCGGGCTGGCAGGAATCTGCTTGCTTCTGCAGCCCCCGATTGCAATGAACCAAGCAGCCACAGCAAGGATGACATCATCTCTCCTCCCACTCAAAGCCAGCTTTCAGCTTTCTGCACAGTTCTGGCTGCAGGTTGCCTGACACTGAAACAGACCAGCCTTGAGGTGTTCAGCTTCTCACTAGGCTTGGAAGGTCCAAACCTTGGCCTCGTTTTATTTATTCCTCCCCACCCCACTCAGGGTTGTTGCCAAATGCTAGTCCTACTCAGAGCAGTCTCACTGAGAGGAATAAGCATGGCTAAAACTTTGGTCCGTTCAGTTTGATGGGTCTACTGAGCTAGGATATGACCCTATCCAATGTGCTTGAAAATCTCCAGTGAAGTAGAGTCCACTACCTTCCAAAGTAGTCCATCCCACTCTGTTACATGGAAAGAACACAGAAAGAAGGTGGCTTCAATTTTAGAATGGGCTTGCCCCTGTTCTTTCTGGGGCTATCTTTGAAGCACATTCCTAGCACATCCTTTCCCTTACAGAATTCTGGGCACTGCAGTTTGTTAAGGTTGGCTGGGAGCTATAACTCTGAGCAGGGAACTACAATACCCAGAAGGCACTTTGAGTGGGGGTGAGCAAGTAACACATCCTTCAAATGTGCTTTAAAGGTATAGCATGCATGCAGCCTGAGACCTCATTCTGAGGTTTAATTCCTCTTGGTTTCCCAGAAATGGAGCCACAAAACTCAAAAAATGTGGGTCACTTCATGACATATGTCATGAAGAGATGGATGAGAGAGCCTCTCATCCATTGTGTATCACACTCAAAAATGGTTTTCAAACTGGCATCAAAATTGGACTGGCATTCCTTTCCTCTGAAACAACAAAGGAAATTTTAGCCTTTAAAGGCACAAGCAACCACAATATAAATATAGCAAACAAAGGACCATTTTGACACATATTTGACAAAGAAATGTAAATATAGATACACATAAAAAGAAAGAGAAAAACGACACTCCCACCCTCTGAAGTAAATTGCACACTGACCCTCTGCAGTAAGCTGCATAGGTGTTACAAATTCAACATAAATTCAAAAAAATTGGACATCCTACCCACCTACTTGGTACTTGAGTGGTAGTGAATGCATTTTTGCTTGCAAAGCAATATACATATCTGGTCCAGGGGTGGGGGTGGTTTGTTTGACAGGGATCGAAATACAGAAGTAAGGAGTTTGTGCCCAGAGTGCTTGTAAGTAATGGGAGAAGTTCTCAACCTCACCAGACTCACAAAGTTTTCAGTGATATGGTATGTGATTAAATCCTCTTACCCCTTATAGAAACAGAAGGCATATGCTGGAGATGTAAGGCTGGGAATAGTTTCCTTAAAGGACCCTCCATATTGCACTCTGTGTTAGGAGAGCTTGCATCTTGGGTGAATTGGATTGGAACAATCACTTACAGTTTATGGAGTTCAAAGGCTTTATTCATGCAGGAACTATTTACAAGGTGAATAGTGGTGTGAGAGAGAAATAGCATATTTTGTCTCAAAACGTTCAGAGAGAGAAAGAAAAAATGCTTCAGATTCTAGGGGCGGAGTTAAATTAGACAAAGAGGCTACAAGCAAGTGCTGGCTAGACAGCAATCTAGTATGCTGGAGAAAAGCAAACACATTTTGTTCTCACTAAACTTCTAGCTAATGCACGTGTTACTTTAAACCACATGAGGGCACTGTTTGTCTAACAAAACAGTGCCCTCATGTGGTTTAAAGTAGCACATGCATTAGTTAGAAGTTCAGTGAGAAGAAAATGTATTTGCTTTTTTTCCAGCATGCTGAACCTCCATGAGCTGGAATGCATATGATTGTATGAAAGGAGGCACTGATTGGCTACACCTGCCCAACATATCCATGGAGAGCAAACACATACTGATGTGTTCAATGGCCACACACAAGCTAGGAACACACAATTGTGTTATACCAAGTCAGACCACTGGTCTATCTAACTCAGCATTGCCAACAATGACTGACAGCATCTCTCCAGGGCCTCAGACTAAGGCCACTTTCCCTCCATACATTTAAAACATGATGATGCCACTTAAATCTCTCATGGCTTCCCCCAAAGAATACTGGGGTCTGGATTTTGTTAAGGGTACTAAAAGTTGTCAGAGGCCCCCATTCCCCTGGCAGAGCTACAATTCCCAGAGTTCCCTAGGGAGAGGGATAGATTATTAAGGCACTCTGGAAACTGCAGCTCTGGGAGGGGGAAGAGGAGTTTCTGGACAACTCTCAACACCCTTAGCAAACTACAGCTCCTAGAATCCTTCATGGGGGAGCCATGACTGTTTAAAGTGGCACTGTGTGGCTTTAAATGTATGGTGTGAATGTGGTCCGTAGGTGTCTTTCTTAGACTTGCCTGCAGGTACCAGACCTCCTAGATGCAAAGCGAATGCTCTACTGCTGAGCCACAGGCCTTCCCCATAGCTGCACGCAGACTGGATGCTATTTCTTACACGGAAGAGTTTCCCACACAGGAATGTTGGCGTCTTTGAACATGCGCCATGGCTGGCACAGATCTCCATTTCTACCTCCCGTCCTTCATTCTGAGGCAGAAACTTGGCAAGTGCAAAGAATTGTTTATAAAGAGCCAGCTTGGAAGCCATCACAACAAAAGGCACCGGGCCTAGCTCTATTTATATCACTTGTGAACGGCACAAAAAAATAAGTGGAGGAATCAGCTGCAGCTATTTTTCTCCCCGGCTGCCCACCCACTTTCCCAACAGAGCCAGGATGCCATAGGTGGCTGCCACGGGGCAGTCTGGCAATCTGGCGGGTGGGGCAGGGACAGTGGGATCCTGAGCAGGAACATAGGACCAGTCACAAGTTCACACATCTCCCAAGTATCCCTGTTTACCAGAATGGCCCCGTTTTCCAATACCTGCAAAGAGGCAAATGGGCAACTGTAGTGTTGCCTTTAAGAAGAGCTTGCAGATATCAGATCAGCTCGCTTTCCTCCATACCGTCAAATGCATCATTGCCTGGTTTTCTGCACACCAAACTGCACTAGAGGAGGCCAAGCAGCTTTCTCCACTAGTCAGTGGGCAACCCTATCTTTGTCCCCCACCCCCCTCCCCCTGGTGTATTTTTGCCTTTAATTTCCCTTTGGAGAAAATCAGTCAACTGGGATCTGCTTGGTGGATTCGTGGAGAAGGCAGCTATGATTGGCTACCAGCCATGATGGCTAAGCTCTGCTGCCATGGTTGGAGGCAGTATTGCTTATGAAAACCAGTTGCTCCCTTAATATAGTTTTGACAGGAGAAACCAGGAACTGAACCTGGCATCCTGTGCAGCAAAGCATGTGCTGCCCCACTCAGCTCTGGTCCTTCTGGGTGTGGAATCTATGGCCTTCCAGATGTTGTTGAGCTACAACTCCCATCATCCCTGACCATTGGCCATGCTGGCAGGGGCTGATGAGAGTTGGGAATCCAAAAATGCCTGGAGGACTGCGGATTGCCCATCCCTGCTCTATCACAGCGGTTGGTCCCTGGTGATCATCAGGACTGGTAGGGTAGAAGGCAGGGAGCCCAACAGCAGGTGGCGCCAGAGCCAGTGACAAGCAAGTTCAACTAATTTCCCCCTCTGTCCTTCTCCCTGCTGGGTTCTACAAAGTTCAGACTAAGGAGGAGGAAGCTGACAGAGGCAGTGCCACCCCCTGGACCAGTTGCAAGTAGGAAGGCAGGCGGGTGGGGTCTGATTGAGGGCAGGCTGAGGGCAGTGGGGCAGTGCCCTATTTGCCCCAGTGGGTCAGCCTCCACTTCTCTTGCGTCTCCAGTTTTGATACCACTACAGTAAAAGTTATTCCACTTTTACACAGAGCTGCCAGTGATAGTGATGGTGAATTCAACCCATGCCGTTGTGTTAATTCTCACTGCATAGCCGCATTATTTATTTGTTTGTTTGGTTTAATAAGTTTCCTGACTAGCCACTTCCCAGAACTGCCCCCCCCCCCCCCCACAATCTCTGCCTATCTGGCCTTATCGTGCTTGAGTGGAGGCGAGCATCCGAGAGCGATGCTATTGACTTTTCCCTGAACGGAAGGAGCACTATCATCCCAGCATCTAAAGAGAATTCTCTAGCGATAGTGAAACGCTGCTGAAAGATGGGTGGCTTTAATAATAATAAAAAAAGTGTCAAGGAGATTGTTATCAGGTCTGTGTATGGTACGACTGGATTCGAGGCCTGCGCTCATGGCTGGAGAATGGGAGGTTAAAGACACTGCCTTGGCGTGCTTTGGAAGGACGTCCGTCTTGGAGGCCCTGCCATCAAGATCTATTAGAGCAGCAAGCACAAAAAAGGCAGGGCCTTTTCGGTAGTGACTCCAGGCTTGTGGAATTCCCTCGTTATGGAGATAATGGCCATTTTCATGGCATATGATTTAAAGCGCTGCAACACCACTTTAGACAGTTATGGGTCCCTTGTGAGAATCCTGGGAGCTGTAGTTTGTTAAAGGTGCTGGGAGTTGTTAGGACACTCCCTCCCCTTCTCAGAGCTACATTTTCCAGAAAGGCTTAATCTATCCCTCTTTCCAGGGAACTCTGGGAATTGTAGCTTTGGAAGGGAACCCCTATTTCGCCTTCAGAGCTACAGTTTCCAGACATCCCTATGAAGAGAGGTTGTGAAATCATTCTGGGGAGCGCAGGTCCTGCGGGGGAACAGGAGTCTCTTTCCCCTGCCTTAAACGGGTCCATAGAGGAGCAGGCTGCATGCCTGAGCCTTGGCTACAGAGCCACAAGCGACAGGCAGAGGGATGTCCATGGAGAGAGCCGAGCCCGCCCCGCTCCTTGCCAGCCCTCCCTGCGATCAATTAGCTCTCAGGAGGACGCCGAGTGTTGCGAACAATGTCAGATCCCATCTGTATGGAAAGTGTTTGGCTGCGTGTGTGGCGAGCGGGGGCGGAGGAGGGAGTGCGGCGCAGGCCCTCATCGCAGACCACCGGCTCTGTGCAATGCCAGCAGTGGGAGGAAGGTAGAGACCCTCCCGGCTGCAGCAGTGCATTCAGATCCGTTTCTCCGGCCGGCGCCGTCAAGGTCACAGAGCCCCTCCTTCGCCGTGCAACAGCTCGCAGGAGCGGCCGGCGGCTGCTGCAATGCTGCAACAAGGGGTCCGGCACTGGGCAAAGCGTCGCCGTGGCTCCCTGAGTTATTAGGAAATGCAAAGGGGGAGCGGGGACAGAGGTCTGAAGGAGAGGGGGGTACATCCAATGCACTGCAAACGGAGGCGGCAGCTTGCATAGGGACACTTCGAAGCGGGCGGCAGCATCAGATGAGGACTTTGGAGCACAGACGCAGGGCCCCGTTCAGCAGAATGGACAGCCACCCCCCGAAAAGGCAGCAGGGCTTACCACATCGGAAGTCAGATCACGGTTCCCTATAGCTCAGAATCAGCTACACTGACAGGCAGCAGTTCTCCAGGGTTTAAGGAAGGGCACATTCCCATCCCTACCTGGAAATGCCAGGGGTTGAATTTCTGGCCTTCTGCATGCAAGGCAAGTGTTCTGCCATTATACAGCTAGGCCCTTCCCCAAATAAGCAACAATACCATCTTAAGGGTATGAAAGCCAGAGTCTGGAATGACTTGATGGCAGGACACATTTAAAAGGTGCTTCCCATGCTTGATTTGGGACGCAGGTGGTGCTGTGGGTTAAACCGCAGAGCCTAGGACTTGCCGATCAGAAGGTTGGTGGTTCGAATCCCCGCTACAGGGTGAGCTCTCGTTGTTCAGTCCCAACGTAGCAGTTTGAAAGCACATCAAAGTGCAAGCAGATAAATAGGTACCGCTTCGACGGGAAGGTAAACGGTGTTTCTGTGCGCTGCTCTGGTTCGCCAGAAGCGGCTTAGTCATGCTGGCCATATGACTTGGAAGCCGTACGCCGGCTCCCTTGGCCAATAAAGCGAGATAAGTGCCGCAACCCCAGAGTCGTCCGCAACTGGACCTAATGGTCAGGGGTTCCTTTACCCTTTACCTTTACCTCCCATGCTTGATGCCAGAGCACATGGCTGAGGTCATGATTAAGTCAGTGATCCAGTTCATATTTACCAGGGCACAAGCTCCATTGAACACTGGGGTTTCTCTCTGAGTAAACATGCATGGGATTGCTCTGTACGCATCCCTGGTGAAATCCCTCCAGAGCGGGGAAACCTTTTTCAGCCTGAGGGCTACATTCCCTCGTGGTCAACCTTCTGGGGGCCGTGTAGCAGTGGTGGCTGGGGCAATGGGTGTGGTTTTTACCTTTGCACAACAGACCGCATCCTGGTTTTCCAAAACCAGAGTTTCCACACATGCACACTCCATCAAGGCTTGCGTAAGCGAGAGGCGTGATAAAAGGACAAGGGTGCACTCCTGCCAGGCAAAAGCAAGCAAGGAAGGCATGGAGCAGGGGTGGGAAGGGGTGTGGCCTGAGGGAGTCCTGAGGGCCAGGTGGAGAGTTCTGGAGGGCCGCATTTGCACTAGAGCAGACCATTGCAATGCAGGACAGAGCCAATGGACAAGTCAGGTATCCAGCCTCCGGCATCTTCCTTTGAGCCAGGGCTCAGCTCTGGACCGGATTCTCTTAACTGGGGCTCTTCCCCAGAAGGAATGATGTGGTCAAATGGTCACTTTTGTTGCCTCTGATCATGTGTAGTTCCCTCACCACAACCAGCCCACATGCAGTTGGCACAGGGAAGGATGCCCCCTGTCAGAAGATGTGACTTCCAAGCATGCATGCACTGGACTCACCCTCTGAATTAACACCCGAGTGGTCATCAGACATGTGCAAGTTAGCCAGTAGTTTTGTC